CAGCCGTCCCTGGGAGAAGGCAGCTGTCATGGCCTGTCCCTCTGAGGGTGCAGCAGGCAGTCCCTGCTTTGCAGCACGTCCTCACCTTCTACAAAAGAGAAACTGTGATACTGCTCATGGTCCATCCTTTAGGTTGTGCGGTGTGCCAGCTTTAGTAGATCTTTTCACAAAATTCAAAGACATTGTCCTTCATGCAGAGACTTACCGTGTCAATGGCTGAAAAGATTTCTCCCCCAGTGAGCTCTCAGCATCCTCCAACCCCAGACTGCCGTTAACCTCTCTCTGCCTCTCTCCTCTCCCCTCGCTGCCTGCAGGCAGTGCCCTCACCCCTGCTGGGCTTTTCAGAGGATCTGCTCCTGGGCACAGCTGTCTCTGCAGTGCTGACTGGTTGCCATGAGCTCCCTCCATCCCAGGAGCCCAGCCCAGTTCAGCAGCAGAGGACCAGCCCAAGGCAGCACTTTCTCTACCCACTCTGGGTTCCCTTGAGGTGTCCTTTGGTCTCCAGGACAACTTGCTGTGAAACAGGCTGAAGCAATCACTGATGTTGCCTCCCTCAGCTGTGGAGAGACACTTAGTTTAAACAGTGTCATTTCTCCCCTCAGAGAAAGAGTTAGAAACAAAAATCACCTATCCTTGCCCCATCACAAGACAGGACAACCAGAAAGTGACAGGGGGGTATCTCATTTGCTGGTGTGGAGGGAAGGGATTGAGCCTAGTCATTCGAGGCATCTCATGCTGGTTTTGAAGTCCTGAGGACTCAGGTCTCTCTCATGCTCACCACAAAACCCACAGGAGGTGGGATTCCTCTTGTCTCAGTTGAGATTGGCACAAAAGAGCCTCCTGCATGGGAGCACCTTGGCTCAGCTCCCTTGCTAATTAAAGGAGGTGAAGGGCAGGAGGAAGATGTTCAGACACAGACACTTGGTGCCATGTTTGGTTCCAGAGGTGACCGAGATGTTTGCTGGTAACTGCAAGCTCTAATGGAGCAGTTCGTACAGACAGGGCAGTGTCTGAGGGCACCTTCCTGGAGGCTGCTGGGAAATGCTTTTGGCCGACTTCAATGACAGAACGTGCCCACATTTAAGACAACTGAACCTGTAACTATTCCTTATGTCCAAGGCTGCTGATGGATGTAATCAGCCTGATCAAATGGAGTCCTGTGGCACAGGGAGAGCCAAGTCTCTTTCTTTTTATTCTCCATCAGCTATATTGTCCACATGGCCTGAACAGTATGATGGCATTGGTCTCCTGCACATCCGTTCATTGCCTAACCTCATTCAGGGCAGCTGAGTCTGCATTTATTTTAAATGTACCGACATCTATGACTATGGAAGGTGCCAGGGCTCTCCAGGACAACTGCATGCACCTGACATGGACAGCACAGGTCCTGTACAGGAACCCCTTCCCCACTCAGACTCGTTGTGTGACAGGCACCACCCAGGGCATCTCACACAGATTTGGTGACTGTGGGCAGTGATGGAATCCCACCACTGCAGTGACACAAGGTCGGTATCTTTTCTAGCCAGTGGACGCATGGCAGTGCATGAACACCAAGCACACAGCAGCAGGGTCTCCACTTGAGGGCATTCCCTCTCAAACTCTGCTGGCTCTTCTGCCCCCCCATCATTTAACCACCCCTTTGATGTCACAGTCATGGATCAGGCCCATGATTTTGACAGTGTGCTTGGATCACGTGAAGTCCACAGCCAAGGACATTTTCAACATCATCTCTTGCTTCCTGAGATCAGTTTCACCGCCACCACAGGCCCTCTGAGATGCAGAGACACAGCAGACAGCCAGCCCCTCTCCTGACCTTGCCCAAAGCACAGTTTGCTCTCCTTGTGGGCACCTCATTTCTCCTTTTCATTGCCATCTGCCATGCCCTCCAGGATGTCTCTGCTCTGAAGCAAAGCCTTTGTGCACACAAGGTCTTGGGAACTTGGTAGCAGGTTTCTTTTTGCAAATCTGCTCTCAGCCCAGGTGTGTATTATAGTTTGGATATGGATGGCAATAAAGGGCCATGTGGTTGCTCTGCTGCCCCTCCCCCCACTGGGATGCAGAGGAGAATAGAAAGAAAAAGACAAAAGTCTCGTGGGTCGGGATAAGGGCAGTTTAACAGCACAGGAAATGAAGTGAATAATAACAACGAGAATACAGATAAGGAGAATATACTAAAAAACCAGCAAAATGCTCAGAGCAACTCTGACCACACGGTGCCCCGTGCACTCCTGAGCCATGACTCCCTTCCCCCTGGTCTGCTCCCCCCAAAAAATCCTCCTGGGAGGTGTTTACTAGTGGCATCCCTCAGTGACCAGCCCTTGACCACGAGTGTGGAATATTTTTAGTATCTCTCTGTACGATGGGATGAAATGCATTTTCAGCTACTTTGTGAATGATACCAAGCTACTTTTTTGGAGGTAGTGGGACGCAGCAAGAGAAAGGACAACCATCAGAAACTGCAGCTTTGGAGGTCCCGAGTGGACCTGAGGATGAAGAGACGTCATTCTGAGGGTAGTGCTATGGTAAAAAATTTTCTCTCGGAGGCGATCTGGATCAAGGTCATGGCTTTGTGTTTCAAGGGACATCTGGCAAGAAAGGAGTGACATCAGTACAGGATGTCTCAAATACTGGGGAGAGAACATGGTGAGGAAGTACATTGGGTGTGGGCAGCCCACAGGGAAACAGGCACAGGCATGAAACAGAGTAGATCTGCCTGTGGTGGAGACGGCCAAGGGCGCTGGCAAGGCTGAAAGACCATGACAGAATCAAGGTCTTTCTCTCTTTGAGTTAGGCAGGCTTCTCAGCAACAGAGGCCTAAGAGGACACAAATTGTCCTGATGGCAATGGGACCTGGGACCTCATTGCCTCCTTGCAGCCATGCTGGGCAGGCAAGCAGGTCTTGTACCATTGTCCTTCACGCTCCACAACCCCAGGAAAAGCCCTGAGCCCCATGTTAGAGA